TTTTTTTAAAAAAAGCAGATGCATCTTGGCATGAATAAATTAGGAGACTTGGAATAACAGAACTGTGGGTGTTATGGTTCAGTAATTAGAAAAAAACAAATGACTAATAATAATCAAGCAGAATTTCTGTGAAATTCAGACTTGAAACTGAAAACTTGGGACATAAGAATTTAATTATTTTCTAACCTTCTTTTACTTTAGGACCTAACTGGCATCCAACAGTAATTACCTTAGCTTAAAACACCAACCAATTAAAAAGAATACTATGAAGAATTGGTAGCATGGGCCTTTCTTTTTATATTTTAAGTGTTACTAAAAAAACCCACCGTATTTCTTTCAATCACAGAGGGAATTACATTCCCAAATTTGGACTCTTTCATATCACAGCTTACACATTGTTTTCATTTTATAACCAAACCTTACAAGTTTTTGAGTACTACAGAGATTTTTTAAAACTGTAAAATAGGAAAAACTTCTGTAGATGGGCAGCAGTAACCATAAATAGGTTATTTCCTGGCAGTGATACCAATACAAATTTACTTAAACGTGTAATGTTACAGAGAAATGAAAACCATTCCTACAGTCTGCTGAATAATAACTTCAGTCATAACTTTTGTACTTATAAAAGGTTAACTATTTAAAATATGGTAAGGGATTTCTCTTTATCTAATATCCACATCATGAAAACATATACTAGAAAGATAAGAAATATTTTCCCTACAATCTAGCACTAACGAGGATTTCCAGTTGAAACACTCTAATCAGGGCATAGTTTTCAAAGCCAAACCTAATCCGGCTGGGACTTCATTTGTATGGGCCCATCAACTTTATTTTAAAGCTTAGTTCTCTCAAAAGACTTGTTGCTACACGTGGTATATTTTATACATTGTCTCTTGGATAAAAGTTATTTAAGATGTATTTTTTTTTTAAAACAGAAATACTAAGTTTTGGTATACTAACCAACAACAATCTTAACTATGATCCTAAAATCTTGAGCTCTAGCCCTTACCATTAATTCCTAGTCCCACATTTCTAATTGTATCTTTTAAAATAAACTCTTTACCTCCTTCCTCAATAATCCTTCTACTTACACCTACATTGAAAATGCTAATGGTACCACCATACTACTAGTCACCCAGGCAGGAAACTTAGAATTCCTCTTTGATTCCTCCTCCTTCTTTCAATTCATCTATCCAACCAGTGCCATGCTTTATTTATTTGCCTACTGATACCCCATTTCAACTGCTAACATGATAATACAGATTCTTTGTAATTTTTGTTTGGGTAGTAGCAAGCTCCTCTTAAACACAATCTCCATTTCAAATCTTCTCTTACAGCATTCCTTCTTCTATACTGTAGTGAAATTCTGTTTCTTAAGTCAGGTTCTAGACATATCGTGCCTCTGATCAAAAATAACCTTAGGCCAGTCATGGTGGCTCACTCCTGTAATCTCAGCACTTTGGGAGGCCAAGGCGGGTGGATCACCTGAGGGCAGGAGTTTGAGACCAGCCACGGCCAACATGGTGAAACCCCATGTCTACTAAAAGATATAAAAATCAGCTGGGCATTGCAGCAGGCGCCTGTAATCCCACCTACTCAGGAGGCTGAGGCAGCAAAATCTCTTGAACCCAGGAGACAGATGATGCAGTGAGCTGAGATCACACCACCACTGCACTCCAGTCTGGGTGACAGAGTGAGATTCCATCTCAAAAAAAAAAAGAAAAAAAAAAACCTCTTATCCTGATATCTCAAGTGCTATTATTTGATTTCAAAAACTTAATTCCCCACTATTCACCCTCATGTACTATGCATGCTAGCTAAGCATATTGTTTCCTAAACATGTCCTGTGTCGTTTTTTTCTCCCCAACACCTCCCAACCCACCCAGCTCCACCCAAACCTCACATCCCTGGTAACCACAATTCTACTCCCTACTTCTATGAGTTCAACTTGTTTAGATTCCATATAAGTGAGATGATGTGGTACTTGCTTTTTAATGCCTGGCTTATTTCACTTAACATAATGTCCTCCAAGTTCATCCATGTTGTCATAAATGACAGAATTTCCTTTTTTTAATGGCTGACTAGTATTCCATCGTATATATATCTATACACCACATTGTGTTTGTCTGTTGACACTTAGGTTGATTCCATATCTTGGATGCTATGAATAATGCTCCAATGAACATGGGAATACATACATCTCTTCGACATACTGATTTCATTTCCTTTGGATGTAGGACTTCGGAATCTGTTCTGTGCCTTTTCTATCTCCTAGCCCTTGCCTGTGATGGTTTTTTTTTGCCTAGGGTAACATTTCTTTTTATGTTCAAATCTTACTGATGCTTTAAGGCCTAGTTCGAATGTTGTTTTCCTGTAAGACAGCAACCTGGGTCTTGACCAGCTTGAAAGTTGGAGCCTCTGAACTCCTACAGGGCTTCCTATGGTCTCTATGGTAGTGTTTCTCTAATGTCTAACTTCAAGAGTATTCAGATCTCCTGGAGATCTTGTTAAAGTGTAGACTTTGAATCAGTAGGTCTGAAAGTCTGCATTTCTAACAAGATCCTAGGTGATAATGATGTAGCTGGTCTGTGCATAATCTGAATATGAAAGTATTATGGTATAGATTGATTTTTAACTAATGCCCTGGTTATTTATAAGGTTATCTAACTGTTCCTGTTTTCCTATACATAAAGCAAGGATCTGTTTTCTACTATAACTCGTACAAGAGATGTTCAATAAATATTTGTTAATATAATACTGCATAATGTGTAAATGTGTTTTTTCAAATTGTAGGTTTTCAACACATTAATGAGTTGCAATCTATATGTATACATGTGTGATATGCCTGGCACATTAGGTTTTCAATAAATAATTATTTAATGAAAAATAGAAACATTCATAAAATAAATTATACACAGCAAGCAGCAAGTGCTGATAATTGTTATCTATATCTCCTTACCCCCTGTCCCTTTCAAGAAAAAAACACCCTAAATAATGAAGATTTCAAATGTACAACCGTATTGCATGGTCTACACAGGAGTTGGCAAACTATAGCCCGTGGGACAAATCTGGCTAGCTGCTTGTTTTAATCCAAGGCAAACACATTCATTCCTTTACATATTATATATGGTTGCCTTTGCCCAACAAAGGCAAGGGTGAGTAGTTGCAGACCAGATGAACTGCAAAGCAAATATTTACTATCTTATTTACAAAACAGGTGTCTCTATGTTTTTTTTTTGAGACAGAGTTTCGCTCTTGTTACCCAGGCTGGAGTGTAATGGCACGATCTCAGCTCACCGCAACCTCCATCTCCTGGGTTCAAGCAATTCTCCTGCCTCAGCCTCCCGAGTTGCTGAGACTACAGGCATGCGCCACCATGCCCAGCTAATTTTTGTATTTTTAGTAGAGACAGAGTTTCACCATGTTGACCAGGATGGTCTCAATCTCTTGACCCCTTGATCCACCCGTCTCAGCCTCCCAAAGTACTGGGATTATAGGCGTGAGCCACCGCGCCCAGCCAAGGTGTCCCTATTTTTTAATTATGTACACAATGCTTGGTATATAATTATATGTATTCCCAAGATTATAAAGAACAAATGGCAGAAGTAACTTTTACCTTATTGTAATTCTTGGCTAATTCCAACATCTCTTTTACCACTGATTCATTATGTTTACAATGTTCACTGTAGTCCTGAAGTGTCAAACCTTCCATCCAACTCTTCTTATGCAAATTTAGCAACATCTAAAAAATAAAGAAAAATTAATTCTTTTTCTGCTTTGAGGACGTCCCCTTCATTGTCTAGAGGAAAAAAATTTAAAAACAAAAACCATTCTGACTTAATGAGTTTAAATTTAACTTTATTAATTCAAATAAACTCCAACTACAATGCGCCTATATTTATATTAATATAACTAAAGGAGTACTCAAACACCAAGGGCTTTGCATTTGCTGTTCTTCTACCTAGAAGGCTATTCTCATCTTTGCATAACTTACCTTCCTCTCTTCCTTACAGATAGATGCCTTCCCTAACACCACCACCTAAAATAGTCAAACCACATTACCTTAAACAAAAATCTTTCTTCCCTTAACCTGCTGTATTACTCGTATAACACTTATATTATAAAGACCTGAAATTTTTGTTTACTTGTTTATTGCATTTCTCTCCCACTAAAGGGAAATTAAAAAGGCAGGGACTTTGCCCTATTCATTTCAAGATCACCAAGATCTAGATTCTAGAACAATATCTAATAATAGCACACACTCAATAAATATCTGATGAATGAATGAATGAAACCCATATTAATTTTATACAAAGTACATATAGCCTCGATTGCAAATGCCAAGATAAGGAGATAAATGCCCCATGTACTAAATGCACTTGTGTCAATTTTTCTGAGCCTCAGTTTAAAGATCTGTGAAGTACGGGGTTTGTATTAGGTAATCTCAAAGTTTCCTTCAAATTCTGATATTCCATCCATAATTAAAAACTTAAAACTTCTTTATTGTTAGAATGAAAAGCCATGAAGCTGAGAAAAAAATATTTATCTAGGCCAGGCAGGCTCATGCCGATAATCCCAGCAGTTTGGGAGGTCGAGGCAGGAGAATCACTTGAGGTCAGGAATTCGAGACCAGCTTGGTCAACATGGTGAAAGCCCATCTCTACTAAAAACACAGAAATCAGCTGGGCATGGTGGCACACGCCTATAATCTCAGCTATTTGGGAGGCTGAGGCAGAAGAATCACTTGGACCTGGGAGACAGGGGTTGCGGTGAGATTGTGCCACTACACTCCAGCCTGGGTGACAGAGTGAGACTCCAAAAACAAGAAAAATTATCTAGTGTGCAATCACATCAGCAAATTAGGGTTGGACCCTATATTAGTGATCATGAAACTAAAGCACCTTAGTTCAATGTTTCTCAAATTGGACTTACAATTCTAAGTATTCTTAGATGTTCCCTAAGGTTTCAAGTTTATATTTTAAGACAGTTTTTCTTAAAGTCCTACCCTAGAAATTTTGTTCAATTAAGGACTATGATTAAGGAAGAAGTTTTTCCCTTTGAATGAGTCACAAAATTGCAAAAAGTTAAAAAAAAAAATGATGGCTACAAAATGACTGTTATTTTGTCAATAGAACCATTATACTTTAAATGAGATCCCTGAGCCATGAGAATCTGACAAGTACTTGGAAGTATATGCTGGTTTAGTTTAGAAAAATGACCCTATTTGCTGGGCAAGGTGGCTCATGCCTATATTCCCAACACTTTGGGAGGCTGAGGCAGGCAGATCAAGACCATGGTCAAGGGATCAAGACCATCCTGGCCAACATGGTGAAACCCCATCTCTACTAAAAATACAAAAATTAGCTGGGCATGGTGACACACACCTGTAGTCCCAGCTACTCAGGAGGCTGAGGCAGAAGAATTGCTTGAAACCAGGAGGCAGAGGTTGCAGTGAGCCGAGATCACGCCACTGCACTCCAGCCTGGGTGACAGAGCAAGACTCCGTCTCCCCCCCCAAAAAAAAAGGAAGAAAAGAAAAATGACCCTACTTGCTTAGAAATTTACAGCTATTTGTGGTACAAATTTTATGTTATAGTGGAAAATAAGCCGCCTGTCAAAATCACCTATAAGGCTTTTCAAGATACAAAATTCCTCCATTCCCTCCCTTTGGCTCCAAGGTCACTAATTCTTCTCCCATTTCCTTACTATGGCTCCAGGGGCAAGAACACTATGCCAAGAAAAATTAGGAAAACCCTCCACAGATGATTTCAGTTTCTTTGATTGCTTCCTAGCTTCTCCACTGATACTGTTCTAGAAAATACATCTTTGGGAAATGTGGGTGCTGCTACAACTACCTATGCTATACAGCTATCTATAATTAAGTGTTGAGAACTGCATTTTCCTACCATTTCAAAAGCAAACAAAGACAGTTCCCAAGGAGCAGCAGGATATTCCTACCATACCTGGACAAGGATACCCTTGGGACTCTCAGGTAAGGCCTGGGGTTAAGTATACAAGTTGTCCGGGTAAGAGTAAAGGCAGAGCTTTTGTTATCAAGAAGGCAGTTTAACAGCTAAACTGAGCTATTAAGAACATAAACATAACATTAATTAATTTATGTAAGTGCTTATATATTTGCTTTTTATGCCAAGGAAAATGGCTAAGTTTATGAGATACTCCCCAAAAAAAGAGAAAGAAAAAAATTGATGTAATTAGCCAGACATTTCCAAATAGATGGGTGTCCAATATCAGTCTGATAATACATTTATATTCTGAATGAATTTTCTGTTTGTACCTGAGTGGTGCCATTTTTCATAGTCTGTACTCATTCCATGTAAAATTAAAAATAAGCGTTAAAAATATACTTAGAGCAGTCAACTAAATCTATCACAGCAGAAGTAAACTGTGGGACACAGGCAGGCAATTGGAAGAGAGATTTATAGGATCCCCTCAGGCCAAGGGGTAAATGGTCCCCCACCCCCTCACTTATCACATGCTGAAGCACTGGGCCCTTCAGATGAGTTTATGAGTGGATCTGACCTTTTAAAACACAGTTTATCAAACTTAAGAAAAAAAATTAGAATTCTTACTTCAAAAAAAAATCTTATATTGCACATCCTCCTTCCAAGTGTATAGATTAGTTGAAAGAGGGGGTACATGTGGAGAGCCCGCCTCACTCCATCCGCCAGTTGCCATGCACCAGGATCTCCTTCTAATGCACCTTGGTGAGAAACAGTTTTGGCTAGATAGAATGATCTTATTTGCTACTGATTACTTATCACTTTCAGACTTAAGAGTGGACTCAATAACTGAAACGTAACTGGATATCAATCAATAGTAAACTCAGTGTTCTTTGAAAAAAAAATGCTTTTAACTGTTTCCCAGAGAGAAATACAAGAAACTAATTAGGTGGATGACTAATTGTAGTAGTAAAGAGGGAGAAAGTGGGTCAGATTGAAATATCAAAAAACAACAGGCAAAGTTAAATACTTGGCATTAGTTGAGAGAAAAACTGTACTGGAAATAATCCTAAAATAGTAGAAACAAACGAGAATGCTAATTCATCAAAATGTTAGGTAATGTTAAAAAGTAATCAAACTTGAAAACTGGTATAAAAGACGGTAGGATCTAGTTCAAATTATCGGAAAATCCCATAAGTGCTTCCCTTTGACTCACGTTTAGTTTTCTTAGGGTAAACATGGTATGTTTTCTAAAACCACTAGGCTGGGTGAAATGGTTGGCTCATGCTAATAATCCCAGCGATTTAGGAGGCTGAAATGAGAGGATCACTTGAGCACAGGAGTTCACGACCAACCTAAGCAAGAAAACAAGTCTCTGTTTCTACCTCCCACCCACCACCCAAAAAATAGCCAGGTGTGGTGGTGCATGCCTATAGTCCCAGCTACTCCACAGGCTGAAGAGTGAGGATCCCCTGAGCCTAAAAGTTTGAGGCTGCAGTGCACCATGATCACACCATTGCACTCTAGTCCGGGAGACAGAGCAAGACCCTATCTCTTCAAACAAACAAACAGCACTACACAACTGCAATTTAAGTTATTCCTCTCAAATTCACAGAGCAATATATTTACTAATTTAATGACAAAGGCCTTTTTATTGGAGAAGATACATCAATCAGAAAAATCACAGAACTAAAAGAAGTATTTTTATGATTTTCATAAAACCAAAGTGGAATGTTTGATTTATTTCCTACTTCCTCTCCCACTTCAGCACCTACCAATAAGGTAAAATATGCTGCAATTCATCAATAGTGGAACAGTATTTGGAAACATTGAAAGAGGTCAAAAATTCTAATTTAAATCACAAACCAGGTAATAGTTTAAATGGTTTGAAAAATATTTTTTCCTCATATAAAATAAAAATTTAAACTTACCTTCTGTTCCAGTTCATTTTTCCGATAGTTAATAGTAATGGAGTAATAATGTCTGTTTAGTCCATGAATTAATGCCTACATAGATAAATGATTTTAAAAAGGACAAATTAATATTTTTCATCAAAGAAAATAAAAATGTTTGAAACTACTGACATATTCTGTACACAATACCTTTACCATCCTCTATTAAAGGCATTTTAATTTAAGTAAATCCAGATGAAATGAAAGTATTTTTCTCAGCTACAGATTTTAAACTAAGGTTCAAAGAAATGGGTTATACATTCTTCAAAGCATGATATGGAGGAGCACAAATTTCAGTAGCCTTGGTCAGTCAGAGATAAGGTTTGATCTTATCATAAGCTAAGTTTATATATCATCCATAATTTATTAAATCTAATTTTATGATATCTAGGGGGCTCATTGGTATTTCAAATGAAAATCCTAAAAGGTCATAATAACACAACTGTTTCTTTAGCCACATTAATCTGGAGTTCCCCTTTTCTTAATTCAGTTTTGCTTGATTCAAATAATTATGTTATGAATGTCTCCAAAACAATGTGGATTTTGGTCTTTACTGGGTCTGTCTAGCTCATGCTCTTATCCAGTGTCATGCAATCTCACTAACCAGAATTTTTTTCACCTTACTCTATCTTTGAGATGAATAGGCCAATCATAATAAAATCTTAAGCTAATGGCATAGCTTTATTAAGAAACAACAATCCTGGATATCCTGAAATCAATTCACAACTGCCCCCATATCTAACTCTAATAACAATATCAGGTGTTCAAATGAAGTTCAGCAGTACTCTGGTGGACCTAAAGGACCCTCTGGCAGCCTAGAAAAACATGAAAGTACAGAAATACATCTTAGGGATATTTTTAATAAGTATAAAAACAAAAAGATCTTTAGGGTTAACTCTCAGGAATCTAAAGACAAAGCGGAAGAAGGGGTCATTAAAGAGAACATTTAATGAGCACCTAGTATCTGCTTTACACATTACATCTTCTAATCTTCACAATACTGTGAGGTAGGCCAATTCAATTTGTATTTTGACAGATGAAAATAAAATGCAGGGCTAGGCCCAGTGGCTCAAGCCTGTAATCCCAGCACTCTGGGAGGCTGAGGCAGGAGGATCACTTAAGCCCAAGAGTTCAAGACCAGCCTGGACAACATAGCAAGACCCCATCTCTACAAAAAAGACAAAAAAAAGAAAGAAAATACGACACAAATATTAATTTGTCCAAGTTTACAGCTAGTATAAGGCTGAGATGGGGATCTGAACCTAGGTCATTCTGATTCCATAGCCTATGTTCTTTCTAACATACTATGCTACAATACATGTCAGGAAATTCTTGGATTAAGTATACGTACTTTAAGGATCAGGATGAAAACAAAGCATTATGTTAATTTTTAAGCTTCACTAGCAAAAATCACTCCACTGAGTATTGAAATATTTTAGGTAAGTACTTTAACAGATTCTTACTTTACCAATGTCTGTTATAAAAGTGAGCTATGAAATTCCATAGAAAGCGGTGACTGATTGTAAAGTACCAAGAGTATATATTAAATCCTTATTCATTTCAATAATCACCAGGAGCAATGAATCAAATTTCAGTGCATAAAAATGCTATATTGTACAGATCAAAAAGCTGAAGTGATCAGGGCTTCCTTTAATCTATGCTCATATTTATGCACATTAGGAGGTGAATCATCCTGGTAGAGAATTAAAAAAAGGTGCTCAGTCTTCTAAGCAGACATAGTCTGGCTGTAGAGAGTGGAGCTTGAGTTGGAAGCTCCCTCAACCAAGCACATTTCTGCAATGCACTCACTAACTGCACAACTCTATACGGTGATCATAAAGCTAGTAACTGCTGTAGCCAATACATACAGAAGCCAGCTAATGGGCCCACAGATACTAGGCCCTACATTTTTTAGATTAACTGTACTAATGAAATATACAACTGGTATCTGAAGGCACTATCTACTTGATTTTTAATTATATTATTTAGATAAAAGTAGTACAACTAACACAGACAGCATTAAAGACCAGCAGGTATAACCATAATAAAACAAAGGTAAGTTTAAATCAAATGGCATCCTCAAGTAATCTTTCAATTTCATTTACCTGCTGTATGCCCCCAGTGCCTTCATCCCAAATCATAAGTCAACCAGCCATGTACTTTTTGGGTTCATGTAGAACTACACATGGCCAACTGATAAAAGCTCATAAAAGCTTATGATTTTTACCTCTATACACTCACTGCTGTGGAAAAGCAGGTGCATTATAAAACACACAACTTATGAATTATACATAAGCTATTCATAGGTTCCTGATAAGTTTTTAAAGTTTCAAAGTTTCATGTTCCTTGAAAAAGTATGCTTAGATCTAAAGACAAATTTGTTTGCCTTATTTTATATTGATAAACTGAAAACAATACAGTGGCATCTGATATCCTTTAAATCACACCCTAAAATGAAGCTTTCTATGTATAAATAGAATAACTGAAAAGAAACAAAATGTTTTGTGGTTCCCTCCATAGCGGAGAACTGAGTTGCACAAGGCAAAAGAGGAAGGGAGAGTTTTTGCTAAATGACTTTGTGCTTAAACATTTTTTAAAAATGTATATATATATACTATCTATGGCAAAATTAATTAGATTTCCAATAATAATATAAAATAATGAAGCGATCTGGTCATGAGTACTAGTTCCTACATTACTTCACTGGATAACCTAGGCAACTCAACTTTATGGGTCTTAGGTTCCTCATGTAGAAAATGACTACAATGGCTCCTTTCTAGTGCAATTGTTTTACAATTTATATGTTCAATAATTACTGAAAACAATGTTTTCCAAATAGCTTAACTCTATTAAACAATGCAACAGTACTGAAGACTATACTGAGAGGTTCACAGCCCTAGCACATGCATCTATGCATCAATATTTACTAAATTTCCATGAGGATAACTGCCAATCTTCAAATTTACTGTGATACTTAAGAATCCAAAATGTCACTGAACAGTTTTTAATGGAATAGTTTTAAAAGTTTAGTTACTAAAATAAATGCTTAACTCTAAATTCTAAAGATTTGACAGTAATAGCCAAATGTTTCAAATGCAAAATAATATAAATTACCATATATTAATATAAAAGCCTATAGTATAGGCATTATACTTTCTCCTATCAGGATTGTTAGGGGTTTCTATTATATAAAACATGAAAGTGAAAATAACCTTTTTCTCTTAGCTTATTTCAACATTGTCATTAGTACTTTAAAAATAACATTTTCTAAAAGCAATATATGTTTCACTGTAAACAGTTTTAAAAACATGGGCAAGGAAAAACAAAAAAATTCCATAATTCTACCATCCAAAGGTAACCAATGAAAATATCCTGGTATAAATATACAGGCACCATCTATAAAATATATGCTTGCAGAATGGAGAACTGACATATTCTATTTTATAATTTTTCTTACTTAACATATTTGAACTTTCCCAAAATTATTAAATAGCAGTCTAAAGTAAATAATTAATTATTCCCTACTACTTTAAGTATAATAGGAAAAATAAAAAATCTATTAGAAAAGCATTAGTGACCACCAGTATGTATGCTGATGACTGTTACCAGACTTTTATCCCTACCACTTGAAAGATATTTAGGAGCAAGGCCCATCTTAAGACCAGCTAACCTCCCCTTCAAAATAAAATGCATGGCATTTCTAAAAGGCTTCTGATCCCAGAGTTAAAGATTCTGTTAACATTAAGTAAAATTCCATTCCAGATATTACCATTCCCTTCAGGCTCTCCTGGGTTGCTTTCTAGCTTGTCTTAGAAAAATAAGAAAGTGTATTAAGGTAATGGGTTTGTTCTGTTACTTGTTGGATTGGTCTCATTTGTGTGTTTTAGTATTGAAATTGTCTTAAAACTGTAGAACATCCAGATAGATGTCATTCTGATGGGCGCTATATAAACTGTGAAATAAATATATTTACAGATTCTAACTGGAAGGCAACACAAACTAAAATGAAAGGAAAACTAATGATGCCGTAGTTGTTATATACACAGGTTGTTTAACACAGGTTTAGAATCTGCTTTATAAGGTAGACCATAAATTACAGACTATAAGGTAGGATTAAAAAATACAAACTAGACTGGTATAGAAAAAAACAGGTTTTTAATATTGATTACAGTCGATTTTTAAGGTTAAAAAGCAGTACTTTAATTTTAAAAAAGAAATTTGCAACAGGTGGTGGGTGACTTGCAATTAGTAAAAACTTCTGGCAGAAACATACCATGTAGTAATCACAATGATCTTGGCTTGTGAGATGCTACTTAACCTTTTGCAAAAAATAATGAAGCAGTATGATGCTACGGGAGTTTATAAGAAAGGTCATTATCACAGGCTAAACAGGTCCAATAATATATTCTCTTGGAACATGCAAGTACAGGCTTGTCTGTACCCAATCAAAATCACTGGTAGCTTATTTCATACTCATTATACTTTACAGTTTTACTTGACTTGTAAATTTTTTTTTCAAATCAACACACCTCAATTCTTTAAAACAAAACACTTCACTCTGATGAAGATTTCAGATGAGTGACTGCCACAAAATTAAGCATTTAAAAGTATAAAGTTATCAAAGTGTAACCAAGGCTTAACCATGGTTAACCATCAAAGCCACAACTCCCCAAAGACAACCTCAGAACAGAGCAAGGTTTCAGAAGGGGAGCAGCAATAGCTACTATAATGTCTTTGTTTTATGTATTCTATTTAACCAACAATGGTTATGTCTGTCCTTTTAATTAGTCTTTAGAGAAGTAATTAACTAGATAGACACAGACTGTGGTGTATTTAAAAACACATTTAAAATAATTTTTGCAGACAATAAAGATCTGTATAAAAACACTGTGGCATGTGAATGATACAAAGAAAACATTAATCACTCAAGAGGCTATTAAGTGTCTGAATACCAATAACTGCAATAATGGTAATTAATATCACAATAAAAAAACAAGATATAAACTCTCATCACAAGTAACATATGGATGTCTTTTATAGAATTTATTTTAAAGGTGGGTTTTTTAAAAAAGACAATTTTAAGTATATTTAAGAATTATACCCAGGGATATCTTAAAATATATAGCAACTTCTCCATTGTTTTCTGCTACGAAAAATATCTACTAATCAAGCAATAATAGTATTTGTGCCCTTCACCTGAAACTCCTATTGGTCCTTTTCTATAATAACCACGCAAAGCCAGAAGGCTTTTAAGATAAAGGATCTACTATGTTCCCAAAAAGGGTGTCCTCAAATATGATAGGAAAACTTAAAGACCCCCATTAAAAATTGACTCAAATATGAGCAAATCTAACTTCTGCAATATTTCCACAATTCTTTTTTGAAACAAAAGAAAAATTAATTGTAAGCACATTAAAATGCTAAGAATTAGAACTTAAAAAGACTGTAAGAGGCTTTTAAAATACAAAACAGAGTTTTAACACATTATCAAATATAGGCAATACCTGGATAGATGGCTTGTTTAAGTGACCCAGATTTGAAGTTGTTTGTCTTGGTTCATGTCCTAAGACCATCATATTAGCATTGATCAATCTGAAGGCATCAATAACAACCTGTAAAAACAAGGTGTCAAATCAATTCTTTTTTAAAAGCAAGTGATAATGCCAAGCAACAGTGGACAAGGCATGATCAACTTGCATCTGTTTCTGGACTATTTCCAGAAAATCATTTAATTATAATATTAATAAAAAAGAACCTCCTGCTGACTGTGCCATCAGCACACCACCCTCTATCTTGTAATATAAGTTGACACCAATTATTGCAATTTTCATGAAGCAGTAAAGACAAAAATTAACTTTGCATCTTTATTATTGAAATATGTCATTACTAAACTTACACCAAACAGCCTTCACTGGTGTGCATATGTTTGTCACCAGAATTTTACCTAATCAAAATGAATGACAGAGAAACTAAAACTGAAAGTGAGCACAAGTTAAGGGACCACATCTAAAGCCCAGCCCTGTCACATCAATTACACCACCACAGTACTTGAAATGACAACAAAATTACGGCCAGCAAGGCACTTGCCCACGTATTCTCTTCTAGTCAGATACCTTTTACTTCTTGTGACTATGAACGACTTTATACCTTGTCTGACGGCCTTAAATGTCCAAGCCACTGTCAAGCATAGAAGGCACAATAAGAAAACCAAGGTCATCCATGCTTTAAGCCAAGAACATGGTATGGAATGATATGGTCCTAATTCATAGTAAAGAAATTACAAAAGGTATCTTCTTTTTGTGTGTACAGAAATACTTCAAATTCTTCTATGATACAATAACATCTGTTAGCTCTTACAGATAAAGAGATTATCAAGAATCACATACTTGCTAAAGCTTTTCAACATTGTAAGGTTTTATGTAAAGTCATGTGACTTTAAGACAGATTTCTGCTTTAAGGGAATTTAACTCAATAGATTTATCACATAAAACAATCTTAAAGCAAGATAATATAGTAAGTAATAGAGTATTTCTACATTTTGCCTTTAAAAGTGCTGAATAATTAATATTTATCAATGTTTTAAAAGCTTTGTCAACTACATTTGTTCTTATTTGTACAATTATTATTTGAGGATACTAAGAGATTAAAAATAGTTAAGCCAACTAAATCTAATCAAGTCTGAAAATTCTGTTTGTAATAAGTATTACTGCATGCTGTTCACTAAAGAACAAGATTTAAAGAAAAGAAAGAAAAATCACCATTTGTAAAAGTGTGCTATGATGGATCCAAAGACAGTAACAAAAATTACAAACCTAGACTAAAACATTGTGACAAGTGAATCAATCTAAGCTTCTGTCTACTCATTCGGCCTACAATATCAACTCTGAATTTTGCTTTTATTTCAAACAGTTAACATTTTCCCAAAGATTCATTCCTCTTGTCTCAAAATAAAGTGAAGCATCCCCAGAACATGCATGATTTAACAGTTTGTGAAAACTTTTTTCTTTTTATACAATAACCTTAATCCATACTTAACTTTCACACTTACTTATAAATATATATGGCCTACATTGCTTATACTTAAAATTTTTGTAAACATATTCTCTTTTTTCAAAAAGCAATAATAAAAACAAGTACTAATAACAGACATAATTTAATCAGATGTTATCACAAATAACTTCAAACAATTGTTAAAAAATATAGAAGTAAAATGTTCTCACACTTGTACTAAAGAACATAAAATAAGAGAAAGTTAAAATGTTGGCAAAGGAGGAAGAAGGTGACGATTTTCAAAGATAGGCATATAACTTAAATACAAAATTAAGAATTGCCACCATAACTATTAATGGTAAATATTTAAGAGCAAAGCATCATTTTGGTCCACTTCAAGATTTCAGTAAAATCATTTGTGAGGGGGAGAAAAAGTTGCTACAAAACTATGAAAATTTCATTATGTATCACAACGAAATTCCTATATACTTGTTTATACTGAATGCTTTCAAACTAAAACGGCAGATAGCTATTTTACTTGTAGAAGTCTGTATTATTTATCTGAAATATTATAAACAGGTGTGAAATTTCATTAAAAGGAAATGAAAATACCAGTTAAGTAGATATCATGATCTGAAAATTTTTAAGTTTTCTTAAATTAAGAGGAAAATTCAAGAACTTAATAAAATGACATGCTTTCATTGACAATTCCTGAGTACCAGTGATAGCCTATAGAAAATGACTATTTACACTAAGATTAAAGGAATTTGCTGCCATCACTATAGTAACTGTCTTAAGGAAACTAACATGTTCAACAACCTGCAGACCAAAATTAGATTTAGTATGCAATAAAATGTAAACATGGCGATACAGTCTACATTTTAATTTTTGTATAATTTTATAATTGCTTTTTACACTGTGAAAATCAGTGGATTTCTCCTTTAGAGCAACCTATCAAAATAGACTCATTAATGTCCAGTGCACTAATGAGCAATGGGTGAAGAAGGTGTTAATTATGCCACAGTAAGATTAAAAAAAATAAGCCCTAGTGAGCACTCAATGATGTGTATAAGTTGAAAGCGTTTCTCCATGTTTGTGTATTTACAGCATGATGCAATAGAATGACAGCAAAATCGTCACTCTATGGTTAAAAACAGAAATCTTAGATATAACAAACTGAATAAAGAACCCCCAAGAATTAATGAAGGTATGGGTGGGTAGGGGAAATAATCTATTTTTTGGAGCTCTCTGAATTTTCTAAACAGTTCATTTTGAAGTATATATATATTAAATTAGTTCAGTTTATATCTTATAAACTCAAATAATAATTTAATCAAAAAACTTTTCACAAAAACTACTTCCTTAATATATAATAGCAAAACCCTCTGAGCTAAAGTATGAAGAATATTTTCAGGAATATGATGCTAGACTTTTAAAAATTCCTTTCCATGCTGAAGGCTTACACACCACATTGAATCTTTATTCACCAGCCTGACCATTTAATTTTTTCTGGTACAAGTGCCTTGAGACTTTTCAGAGGTCACTGCAACAGTAGACAGCTTATAACAAAACCATTAGCAGTTTGGCTAGCTTAGGGAAACCTCTTACTTTCCTTTTTTGTTTATTATCACTGCATGAATCTGCAGCATATGATAGTTTATAATTTCTCAGGCTTGTTAAATTCATGTTAAAGGTCTGTTTTCTTGTTGAATAAATTTTGTTCATATAATGCTGCCTATTTCATACACTCAGTCTTTAATAGCACCTTTGGTCTATGCGCAACTCACAGATCAAAACAGAGGACTAAAATAGGGGTTGATGATGCTATTTACATGTGTGATTCCTGCTGTCTTCTTGTTAGTAGCTTTAATATAATAGAAGACCTTGTCTGTTTTGTAATTAACACATCTTTACTGGAGAGATATTTGGAAGTGATTGCTGTGAATATACTGGTTAGTAAAATAAACACAATCACACACCACTTTCTGTTATCAGACAAATTTGTGAATTGTACACATTATACTCCAGATCAACAAACTGTGATATAACAGCCAAGTAGAAGACACATATTTATATAACCCTTTATTTTTCTGAAAATATGTATTCACTCTGACCTTGCAAATATAATTAGCTTGTGGGATGTGCAGATTTCAGTACCATGGTTGCTTTACTAATTGCAACTCTTGGAAATAGATACTAAATATTTGGAAGCTGCCAATACAAAATAAAAACTGCATGTTTTTTGTACATCTGTCTTAGATTATAAAAGCAAAATAGTTTTAAAAACAATCCTGAGTTCCATATTTATTCCAAGCATGCCCAAGGGTCAAGGATCTATCATTTCATTTTAATGACGAATCTGGTTTATGACTTAAAACTCAGTTTAATCCATTATTTTTTGGCTTCTTTCATGAGTAGGGTACAGTTCATCCAATATGCTATTTATTTTAAAATTCGTGTTTTCATATCAACTGCTAGGTCACTGAAAGACTAGACTAAATTTCTAAAGCACCAATCTATAATTCCCAATTTTTATACCCGAAGGAAGCTATTTTTAAGCAAGCTCTTCAAATCAGTTTAATACAAAGGTGTTTTAAAGAAAAATACATATACACTTCTGGCAGAAGCTGTAATATTTCTCTCTTTCTTTTCAGGAGTTGCCTTTGGTCCAGTTGCACTTATATTACAGTCAATGACTATGGGTATTTACACAGAGTAGAACTAACATTTTAAGAATTTATAATGTATTTATTTTATTGAGCTTAAAAATGAAACAATCAAAATCTTCCATAATCTCAGGTCAGCTCACTATATATATTGTATATGTATACCTATATATCATATATAATATTCAGTTCGTCATATATGATGAACTGTAGCTTGCATATATGATGAACTGAAATAATTTTTTAAACTTGAAAAAAATTTCAGACTTCAAAATCAATGTCAAACACTAAAAAGAGAAAAAGTAACAATTCAGTTACTAGTTACATATTTTAAAACATACAAAACCACCCTTTATAAAGTAAATCTCTAAATGACTATAAAAACAAAAGTTGTGTAAAGAAAGGCAACACTCAACCCATATCAAATACTCTTTATCACCTAGAAATGACCTGTTATCAACTGCTTAGGTTGTTTCTAGATTCTTTAAAAATTAAGAGCGCACGTGACCTAGGAAGTACTGCTGGGTTTGTGACCATTTCGTTACTTCTGCTGCCATGCACTGCCAGACATCTATAAGAGAAAAACATCTTATGTCTCTTGTAAGCCCACAGCATAAAAAATTCAGAGAAATCTTACTTTTTATGCCATTTCCAATGAAAAGCACTAAGAACTAAAACTGACTCATGCCAAATGCATATCACTGAATTGCTGTGATTTCTTAGTCTCAAGTTTGCAACATGGAAATTATTTATAAAATGTCAATTTTAGCTCTGGAAAAGAAATTCCTATGTGTATGTACATTTTCTTTCTTCATCCTCGGAGAATTGCTTACTGTAGCTAGAGATCTGTAGTACAACTTCAGTATATTGGGAGAAAAGGGGGATGGGGTGTAACTTGCATAATTTACTTTTTTTGACAAGTGAAGACATGCATCAAAATTCAAAGAGTAAATCCA